AAAATAAAGGTTGTGATGTGTGGAGGTTTGATGATAAATTCATCCACACTGGAAGTAGATCTGATGAGTTGGGTTTGGGAATGTGTGTGTCTGATTTCTCCCATCCTCCCATCCCCAGGTAAGGAAGAGTCTGTGGCCACCTTCAAGGGCAACGAGTTCTTTTGCTACGACCTGTCCCTGACACCCATCCAGAGCAGCACTGACGAGATAACGCTGTCCTTTCGAACGCTGCAGCGCAACGGCCTCATGCTGCACACCGGCAAGTCGGCTGACTACGTGAACCTTTCTCTGAAGAGCGGCGCCGTTTGGCTGGTCATCAACCTAGGCTCGGGGGCCTTTGAGGCCCTCGTTGAGCCGGTCAATGGCAAGTTCAATGACAACGGCTGGCATGACGTCCGCGTCACACGCAACCTGCGCCAGGTAAACACTGCCCTCCCACATCAGGGCTGCTGCAGCCTTTTGACTCACCTCCTAAACGTTTTTTGCAGTTTTACTTTCTTTTTTACAGCACGAAGAAAGCTGGAACTCACTGATTTGCCGTTTTCCCTTTTGTTAATTCTACTTTTTTCTTCCTGTGATAACAAAACTTTCTTTTACACGAACTGATGCAGGACTGAAATACACCAGAAGGCTGCCAGTGCATCTAAACACCGTTGTTGGAGTTTTTACAGTTTTCAGTCAAACCTTTCAGCTTAAACAAGCAGCTACATAGAAACATGCACGTCCACCAGGACTACTACGCTTTGTCCTTAAAGAGCAAGTCACCCCCTACCACATTCTTACTCCACTCCCACTTCCTGTTTGAAAAATGCAACAAATGCTGTTGCCTAGCAGACCTGGAGGGCGGAGCCACTAACAAATACACACACACAGGCTCACAACGACATTGTGACATCATATGGTACCAGCTAACGTTCTAGGGTACCTCTTAGCCAATAGCGATGGCAGATTTAAATTCAACTGCAGTGCAGTTTTTACCTGACAACGGCACAACACTGACAGTTTTAGACAACAACATTAAAATTTTAACTAAAATGCACTAAAGTGCAAAACTACTGACGACACGTGTCTGCAGCACGATTAGACACGCATTTATTTAGTTTATCAGGAAAAAAGTGTTATTTGGGGGTGACTTGCTCTTTAAGTGATGGTGATTCACTCAACCTAACAAACCCACGAGGATTTAACAGTGAAAAGCCCCGCCCCCTTACAGCTCAGGTAGGCCTCTCAGTAGAAACATCATTCAGGATTTAAAAGGGATGTTGGACTAAACAGACTTTTGATATCATCTGTTTTATGTTTTGATCGGATTTCTTTCTGCTTGTTTAACATTTAGTCGACGATGTCCCACTAACGTTTGAAGTTTCCAAACTTTTGCAAACATTTTACTCCAAGATCTTTATAGAATATGTTCATTATTCATGAAATCGTGGCATTTTTCTCTTCTTTCCCCCACCCTGTCTTACACTGCTGCAGCATTTATGCTTTTCTCTCAAATCCTCTGAAAGTGTGGATGATGCACAGCCACGCTTCCATAGTTATGTGGTTATATTTCAGCTAAAATGGTTTTCTTTAAAACTGGAGATGAAATTATTGTATCCTCTTCTTTGGGGCTTTGGGGCAGCAGCAGCTCTGGAGGTAGAGCGGGTTGTCCCGTAATCAGAAGGTTGTAGGATTGATGTCGGCTCCTGGAAGATAATTCTGCTGTTGTGTCCTTGGGCAAGACACTTAACTGTCCCTGCCTGCTGGTGGTGGTTGGAGGGATGGGTGGCGCCTGTGCTCAGCAGCTCGTTTCTGTCCGTGTGCTCTAGGGCAGATGTGGCTCTGATGTCATTTATCATTTACACTTAATGCAGGAATGACACAATTCCCATCTGGCCATCAGGGCCTTCGTGTGTTAACCGTCCAGTAATGATCTTAGCACGACTTCTAGTTTTGTCTAAAATCCATGTTTGTTTTATTTTCAGGGACTGCGACACACAGGTGTGAGGTTACCATAGCAACCCTCAATGAGCCACTGGAGGTTACCATGGTAGCCCTGATGACCATCTGGTAGCAGAGCTAACTTTTGTTTTGGTCTTGGTTATTTTTACATGTCATCAGGTGCGCAGATAGGGTGGGGACGGGGGGGATCTGTCCCCCCCAGATTCAGATCAACCCCGATCCGTCCCCCCCACTAAGGCCAGAAAGAAAACAAAATCGGAGGTTTAGCGCTTGAAGCTCCTTTTCCCAATTACACTGAATGCAGCATGATGTAAACAAACACGACTCCAGAGGCACTAAAGTGGTTGCTGCTAGGATGCAGGATGAGCAACGATGACTGCGTGTTTAAAAAAGACCAACAGTGTAAGTAGGCGGGACCGATCTGTCTGTTTATGCGTGTTGGTTCTAGTTTCAGTACGTTGTTGTCGGTGTTGGGACTTACTCGTTATAAGCACCAAAGCCTCATTGCTGACTTTAACAAGTCTCATCTACAAACATGATCCCTCATGAAGTTACTACTTTACACCAGAAGATAGTGGAGATGTGGAACCTTCAGGCTGAGCAAAGTTTGGGAGTTTTTAGAGTTTGAAAATCGCCTCCCGCCGAGAGGCTCCCAGTCGGGGAGAGGAGATGCGTGCAGCATGAAGAGCGCAAATATTAGATAAAACGTATATTTGCCAGCAGGTCTGACTGACCACTTTGTCTGGTCATGACTGACTCTGATTATGAAGCAGATTATTGACTCTGATGAAGAAATTCACTCATCCAGCCGGGAAGACTGACGCTGCTGCAGCATCAGACAGCTGGTGCTGCACGAGAGGTGTGTGGAGTTTACCAGCTCCAAACGTTGGGTCTGATGTTGGTTTAACCTTCTCTGGGACGTGATGGATGTAGAAATGATGGTAAAACACCGCTAACGTGGCAGACGTAGGGACAATGTAAAAAAAAAAGCTGTAAAAAAGAGGCAGACGCCGATGCGTTAGATATGGAAGTCAAGTGTGCCCAGAAGCGGCTTTAGGCACGGGCAGACAGGGCAGATGCCCGGGGCGGCATTTTTTCATGACCCAAAAGGGACGCACAAGCGCTGAGTAAAAAATTAAAAAGAAAGAAATCTGCGCCGCACCGGGGTTTGCTGTTATCTGTCATATGACAGCGTCTGGAATGGAAACAGCAAGTTGGTGCCCCCTGCAGCTGCAGGCGCTCCTGCTGACTGAGAGGGTTCAGGTGCTCCGTGTGTGTATGAAGAAGAGGAAGGGGAGGGGCGCGGGTCTTTCCCAAATGAAATGAGCGGCTAGGGGCTGAATCAACCGTATTAACATGGCTAAAGTCAACCACATCAGGATGCTCTTCCATTTAACACACATTTCATTCATGATGTGTGTGAATGGATGAATGATGCACTGTAGTGTAAAGCGCTTTGGAGTCCTTACTCTGAGAGGCGCTATACAAGTGCGGGTCATTTATCATTTATAGAGTTGATCAGGCAGAGCTTTGCTGCAGAACGGCTTCAGACACGTGTCTAATAGTCAGTTTTTACGTAAACCGTTGAAATTACACAAACTCACTGAGCTCTAGTTAAGGCTTTTGCAATAGTGTGTGTGTGTGTACGTATGTGTGTGTGTGTGTGTGTGTGTACGTATGTGTGTGTGTGTGTGTGTGTGTGTGTGTGTGTGTGTGTGTGTGTGTGTGTGTGTGTGTGTGTGTGTGTGTGTGTGTGTGTGTGTGTGTGTGTGTGTATGTGTGTGTACGTGTGTGTGTGTGTGTGTGTGTGTGTGTGTGTGTACGTATGTGTGTGTGTGTGTGTGTGTGTGTGTGTGTACCTATGTGTGTGTGTGTGTGTGTGTGTGTGTGTGTGTGTGTGTGTGTACGTATGTGTGTGTGTGTGTGTGTACGTATGTGTGTGTGTGTGTGTGTGTGTGTGTGTGTGTGTGTGTGTGTGTGTGTGTGTGTGTGTGTGTGTGTGTGTGTGTGTGTGTGTGTGTGTGTGTACGTGTGTGTGTGTGTGTGTGTGTGTGTGTGTGTGTGTGTGTGTGTGTGTGTGTGTGTGTACGTATGTGTGTGTGTGTGTGTGTGTGTGTGTGTACCTATGTGTGTGTGTGTGTGTGTGTGTACATATGTGTGTGTGTGTGTGTGTGTGTGTGTGTGTGTGTGTGTGTGTGTGTGTGTGTGTGTGTGTTTGGGGGAGGGTACAATGGAACTTTGTCCCCCCCAGTTTGAAAATCCTATCTGCGCCCCTGCACGTCATACACACCAGCGTGGGTAAATGAACACAGGTAGTTACAAGGCTGATTGTGAGCATGTGGTGAGTTGGCACCCTTCTTAAAATTGTCCCTCCCCTATTGTTAATGGGGCCAGATGGGCCCTAGGCCCTTTTTATTTTTAGGAGTTCACCACTTCACCCTTGTCGAGGGATAAAGCTGTTCAACCATATTGAACCACCCCCTGTCCTGGAGGGGTCACCCGTGAAAGGGTTAAAGAATTTTCCTCTGTGATCTTACAATCCAACACACATATTAGAGTCATTTAAAGGCAAAACCATCAGAACACAAACAATTTAAGTGGCGGACTCTAGAAACTGAGCTGCCATTGAATCTTTGTCAAGTCAGACGTGGCTCTACCCAATAACGGCCAAACATTTAGGTTTGTTGTCCTCTGAAAATGCAAGTAAACAAAGTTCCTGTGTCCTGCATGTATGCACACAACGCACCCAGCCACACAAATGCAAGGCACCCTAATTTATCAGAGGCAACAGTGCACTTAAAACCTTTGTGAACAATCACACACATCCTTACAATCTGCTAATGGAAAACAACAGAGCAACACCCACAGAAATGTCTGCGTACGGGAGCGAACTGTTGAGGGAAGCGGTGCGCTTAACCGTGGCGGCTTGTTGCTTCTCCTCCAACGCAATACAGAAGGCGTGTTCTCTGAATCCCGACTCCCCTCTCTTAGAGTGCATCATCAATTGGCAGGTCCAGATAGCAGCAGTGAGACAATCAATTTCACTTACACTCTCTGTGCTTACTTCTTCACATTTTTTGGTTTATGTAATTGGAATGAATGGCTTGTCAGTGTTAATAATAGGAGCTCTAGGCAGTGCAGAATGCAAAAGGCTTAATGTGAACACATTAGCTCAAAGATGGTGGCTCAGCTGTTTTGTGTGTCTGCAACAACACAGAGAAAGCTTGGACTGAATAACAAATCACACATGGCCGTTCCACAAATATGAAACTATAAACATTTTAAAGATTGGGTGAAGTTTATTACCGGTGGATTTATGTTGCTACCCTATGTTGCACTAAATGTGAATAAAATGTTGAAAAACCCAAAAGTACCAAAAGCAGCATCATTGTGTTATCTTCTAGTTCACACAGAAGGGCGGATGAAAAAGAAATCCACAAATAAAAAATGGACTTCCTGCTCTCAGTGGGCTTGGC